CTTCACTGTGATCTTTGCCTCCTCCTCCACACGGAAAACGTCGATGGCGGACTTGTTGGCGGGTTTTGACACGGTCTTCTTGACCTTGACGGTCTCGCCGGTGTTTTTGACGAGACCCTTGTTGTAAAAATACCGTGCAATCTTCTGTGGATGACCTCAGACACAACAAAGCGGAAAACCTGTGCGACATACCTTACGAACAGAGTCTAAATTATACACCAAATCCAATTTGAACTCGTCAACCAGCTTCGTGGTAATGTTGTCGTTGACAAAGTCCTTCTTCAATCCCTTTTTGAATTCGCGTTGTTTGCGGCCTTTTTCTGCATCCCTAAGAACTGTTTGTTCGAAAGCAAGATAGGATGGTAGAAAAGCGGTAAGGAATGCCTCATGTGTGCTTTCAATTTTCTTGTAGGATGGTAAGGTGGGATCCGACTCATCAGTGTCGACAGTGCTCGTAGATTCCATGGGAGTAGGAAAGTAAGGGTCTGAAGCGCTAAGAAACTGAGGCGCTAATATCTCATCTAACAAAGTGAGCTTTGGCCGTCTCAGACACCACCCCAGATCGGAATGAGAAATGACAATAGAATAAACAATAGAAATGTCAAGCGCCATCAATCGGAGACATCGGCTAAGGGGAACAATCGGAACACTCGGAAACACAGCAACAATGGTCAAAGCGCATTCTAATACAATACCTGATGGCTTTCCAGAGTACGTGGGATTCCTTATTGGTGAATTGATTGAGGGCTCGTGGGCCGAGATGAATCAATTTGCGGGAAGTACGAAGGAGCAAAACCAATCCAAAATCACGGCGGTGGATGAAACAGAGGCCGAGAAGGAGCCGCTGTTTTTGCCTTCCTCTCTCAACGCTCACACCAGAGCCTCTTTAGGAATGACGGATACCGCCAATGTCGAATACAAACTACGCGAAGGGATAGCGCATGACGGGTTGGCAGATGTTCGACTCGCCATCAAGACGTTCAATTTCAACATAGCGTTCAAAATTTCTCAGATCCAAGGTCAATCGGCCAACACAAGGGCCCAGACCTTTCTTCGGATACTTGCGAATGACCGGATTGTTGGGGCGGACGAATATCGACGGTCTAGAGCGGCGCTTCTAAGCCTCGGCTTATCGGACACCGATTCAACTCTTCGCCACTTGGTAAATGACGACCTATATGCGAAGAACACCAAGGATTCTCCGAAAATGGGGGAGAGTGGGGACATCGATCCGTGGTTCTGGACAGTGGGACGTCCAGCGGGTATGACACCACGGGAGGAGGCTGAGTGGAGCGTTGAGCGTGAGTTACTTTATTCTGTCTTGAGAGTGAGTGCTAATGGTCGCCTTCTTTCAGTCGACCGAGTTAAATGGTTCCGGGATCGGGGTCATCGAGATTGAGCCGTGGAGCAGAAGGACATTGTGGAGGAAGAATTCTCACGAACCACTGCGTCCTTCACGGCAACCGCTACAGCGTGGAAGGCTATTAAAGCCGCGAGCTTACCGAGGTCTGGGAGGGCGGCCTATGCGCACCTCAAAGATGAGATGTACACTAAGCTCGCAGCGGCATGCTTCAAGGTGCATGAATCGGCTCCGGGGGTGTCCGAGCAGGACAAGATGGATGAGGAGGTGGCGCAGGCGACGGAGTTGAAGAAAAAAGGCCTTCTTAACACCACACCGTCGGACAGCTGGAAGGTAGATTCTGATTTCTCCTCGTGTTGTTCAATGGTTGACCTTTAACAGGATTATTTACCGACTGTTGTGTAATATGTTGTTTGGCAAGTAGGATAGGATTCAAGTTGAACCACTGATTTAATAAACCGATGTTGAGCATTATTGAAACCACTGGTCCCCTGAGGCATTGGTTTGAATCCATCGACATATAAGATATGATAGAATAGGATTTTTAGCTGGTGATCCTACATGGGGTGTTCTCAAAAAATCAAACGGGTGGATAGGATATGTCAACAAATTCACACAATATTAGTGGTGTTCCGAAAAATCGAATGGATAGGATAGGATGGGATTTCTAACTGGTGAGATTACTCCACCAGTGGTCTTTTTTTTTAAATCAGGTGGATAAGATAGGATGGGATTTATAATGTGTGAATCGGGATGAACATAAATGCGTGGGAAGCACGGATGACAGGCCGTATCGGCCGTATCGAGCCGGCCCAAGCACAATTGTGCCAACTGATGTGATTGTCTGTGACACAAATAAACAATGCTTTCCTCTCGACCACCACATAGACACTTCGTCTCTGCACCCCCTGGCTCCTCTTTTGTCCCTCTTCCTCCTCTATCTTGTGTCCCAAATCTGAAGGCACCGCAAGCCGTAGCATCCATCGAAAGTCTCGAAGTGCTCATTAACTGTGCCATTCAATCCGTGAATCCGTGGTGTCACTACTGCCGACCTCAAGTCCGACCGCGGTACCACCAAACGATCCCTTGGCATCATCGTGTGTTTTCTCTGCCTCCCTTATTCTTGTCCAATAACATTGTCTTTAATTTTCCCGCCATAGATTCACTGCATGCAATTATATCCTATCCTACCGCATCCGATCCTATCCTATCGCATCCGATCACAACCTATCCGTCCCAACCACTGTGGGTCTCATTTTGCTTCCATTTGAGTATCCCTCTTGATGTCATAGTTTTGGTTTTTGGATTGTGCAGATTCAACCTAAGGCGAGTCATCCTATCCTATCTGATCTCCATTCTTACAAGCCCGCTCAACCAGCCAGATAAGATAGGTTTTTCCATCCTATCTTATCTTCCTTGCTCACTCCATCTCCAAGATAGGCGAGTCATCCTATCCTATCTGATCACCATTCTCGCAAGCCCGCTCAACCAGCCAGATAAGATAGGTTTTTCTATCCTATCTTATCTTCCTTGCTCACTCCATCTCCAAGATAGGATATGTTGGATCCTGTAGTAGTTAGTAGTTAGTGGTTGTGTAGTATAGGATAATCAGATGCCTCTCCCGAATGTAGAGTAGGATTATCCTATCAGCTGAAGTGGTCGCTTGAACTGGGGCCTAATGACCACGAAAAGGCTTACTTCCCGAATGGCCGAGCCCCGAGTCGAACGGGGCTTCCCGATGACATTTTACAAGACGATTATCTTCGGTGGGTGTGCCCCATGCACCGCTGGGTTTTATACTTGAATCTTCGAGCGTGTATTTATGTGGTGAATTTTTGGCTATCTCATAACAAAAAAAAAAAGCTTGAAAATACACGCAGCATGACCCAGCTCCAACGAAAGACAACGGGCTCAAATGCAATTATGACACTATGCAGCCACGAGGCGTGCCATTAACTAGGCTGGGAAAATGTACACCTTCTAAGTACTCTAACTGAATCACGATCAATGTGGTGAGTTTCTTCGTCAGCTGGTAAAAAATGTCAACAAGTGATGACCCAGCTCGAGTCGAACCGAAGTCGAACGGGGGCCTCCCACTCATCAATACCGCAAAACCGGGTAGGGGGCGTGCACCGTACACCACTGGTCTTATACCTCATTATTTGAACCGCATCGTCACTTGGGATGATTAGATTAGATTCACGTCAGTTGCGTCATCAGACTTGCGATAAGATTAGATTACGTTCCACACGTACCGCCTCCCCCACACGCTGCCCGCGTCCGAGGTTCACCCGGGGTGCTGCGGTGGGCTGTGGTGTACGTATGGGAATGCGCGGAACATAGTTGTGTGTCCGCAGCACGGAACATACTTGGTTGTGTGTCGCGGCGCAGAACAATCGGCGCACAGCAGCGGTATGCGATCGGCCGTAAGACAGCGGAATGTGATCGTCGGCCGCACGACCGCGGATTGCGCCGCGTATGTAGGACAGCGGAAATAATGCGATGCGACGTCACTGCGCCGGGACAATGTAAGACCCCCAGGACGGAGCTGTAATGTGTAATATGTGGTAGATCTCGCATCCCTTGACTTGACTCCGACCAGTCAGAACGTGGGCACTGGGGTGAATAATACACGTCTGAGGACTCATACATGTTTTGTTCGAGCGCAACATCGGAGGGTCTCATGTTGAGCGAAACTTGCCCTAAATAAGTTAGATGTCGCGGGGCGTCGGACTAGGGTTAATATTGATGCGTAGGTGAGTAATATTAACGCAGCAGATGCTTGACATCCGACTCGTTCTAATTTACTCAGCCTGAATGTTTCTCAGTCCTGAGTCTGAATAAGCCCCGTTGACCAAAGACGTCGACGGAACGCGGATGTAATTTATGAATTAGTCAGTTGTGCGAGACACGGAACGTGGCGGCCACGCTCGTAACACATACTGCGCGACACATACGTCAGTAATTCGAACACCCGGGTCGCCAAGCGTCGGACATGCGGGATCTCCGACGCAGTTATAATTATCTTTTGATCCGGGACAACGTCGGGATGATCGGAGTGTGCATCCATTGTCAGACAGGGGTTTGGTGAGGTGGAGGATGAATCGAACGAGGAGCGCCCACTTGATTCCATTTTTTGCAGCAAAGTTTTGCGGGCGTGCACCGTGCACCACTGGGTCTCCTGCAACAATATTCGAGGTCCGATTTATGAGGTGGATTTTGGAGTCGGGTCGAAAAATAATTGTTCATGACCCACGGATATTCAGGACCATATCATCTTGGGTGGGTGTACACAGTACACCGCTGGGTCTTGTACTAGATGATTTGAACATGGGTTTATACTGCATTTCGTTCGCAACTTGCGAATGTGCCCCATGTACCGCTGGGTCTTATACTTGAATCTTGAACATGCATATGGATTTATGCTGCACGTTTGGGCAACCCGAATGACCCAGGCAGCCACGTTCAAAATGATGCCAACTGATCCCCCGAATCGAAAAGGTCCGGGTTTATGTAGTGGTGCGTGCCACAGTGTATGTATGTACGATATCGATTTTATGTATATTGCATTGGTTGAGCTTGCCACCTTTATGCGGTGTTTTTGTGAGTTTAACAAAATAAAATGATGTACGCTGCCGAATGACCCAGCCCCGAATCGAACGGGGGCTCCCATCAACCATATCAATGAACATTAGCATCTTCGGTGGGTGTGCGCCATGCACCACTGGGTCTTATACCAGATTATTCGAGCCTGGATACATGCCTTTGAATCAAAAACCGCCGTGGTCAAGAAAACCAATTGTGTGCACCACTAGGTCTTATATGAACATGGGTTTGTTTATACTGCATTTTGTTTCGCAACTTGTTGGGAAATAAAATGAACAAAAAAACAAAAACCCACATGATGACCCAGCCCCGAGTCGAACAGGGACCTCCTACTGAACATTGTTATTGGCGAATTTCTATCTTGAGTGGGTGTGCGCCGTACACCACTGGGTCTTGTAGTTGAACCTTCGAGCATGGATTTGTGCGGTGGATTTTTGGCTACCTCATAACAAAAAAACCCTTGAATATGAGCATGACCCAGCCCCGAGTCGAACGGGGTCTTCCCACCAACCGTACGCATGTTGACGAAGATTATATATTTTCGGTGGGTGTGCGCCGTGCACCACTGGGACTTATACCAGATTATTCGAGCCTGAATACATACATGCCTTTCTGTAAGTTGAATAAAAAAACTGTCGTGGTCAAGGAAGCCAAATTGCGTGCACCATACCAGATTATTTGAACATGGGTTTATACTGCATTTTCTTTCGCAATCTTGTTGGGAATAAAATGACCGAAAACAAAAACATGATGACCCAGCCCCGAGTCGAACGAGGACCTCCCACTCAATTACGTTTGCGTCCTGGAACGTGTATATATTTGTGCGGGCGTGCACCGTGAACCACTGGGTCTTATCCCAGATGATTTGAACATGGGTTTATCTATACTTCATTTTCTTTCGCAACTTGTTGAGAATCATAATAAAAAGTCCACGTGATGACCTAGCCCCGAGTCGAAGGGGAACTCCTACTGTACATTTCGTAGCGACTTTCTCATCTTGGGTGGTTGTGCGCCGTGCACCACTGGGTCTTATACCAGATTATCTGAACATGGGTTTATGCTATATTTTCTTTCGCAACTTGTTGGGAATAAAATGAACGAAAAAAAAGCCACATCATATGATATTATGACTCAGCCCCGAATCGAACGGGGACCTCCCACTGACTTTCTTATTCCCCACAATATCTTCGGTGGGTGTGCGCCATGCACCACTGGGTCTTATACCGAATTATTTGAACATGGATTTATGCGGTGGATTTTTGGCTGCCTCATAAGAAAACAAAAGCTTGAAATACAAACGACATGACCCAGCCCCGGGACCTCCTACTGAACATTTTCGTGGCGACTTTCATATATTGGGTGGGTGTGCGCCGTGCACCACTAGGTCAAGTTGTACTTAAAGCTTGAATCTTCTTCGAAGCATGGATTTATTTATACTGCAACTTGAACGAAAAGATTATTTCTGCTATATCTAGATGACCGCGCCGCTGATTCATTCACTGTAAGGTGGGCGAGCGTGCGCCCCAAGCAATCCTCCAACATCAGATCCCGTGCACATGTACACAGTGCCAGGCGGATCCAGATGTTGCCATGAATGCAAGGGCGGACGCCTGCCTGCCGATGCCTACCGCCTCCCGATGCCTACCGGCTCGCGCGTCTTCGCGTGCAGTCGCGTGCACCACCTCCGTAACTTCTTCTTCTCCAGTACTTATGTCTTCGAGCTTCGAATTCGAAGAGCTTCCAAGTCGCCGTCGACGCATGTCCCTGTCCCAGAAATTCATCCATGAGGGGTGAATCCGCGCCGCAACAACGAATTATTGGGTGTGCGCAAAGTGCATCCTGCCGCCACAACGAGAATTTTTTTTTTGATAGGTAACCTCCCCAACCCGCTGTCCCCCGGCCCGCTCCCCTCCTCCGCTGACCGTCGCCCGAGGCGTGAGAGCGATCCACGCGTGCTTTTGACGCGCGCACACAAGGTGATCGACACAACGCGTCGCGTATCAATTTTCACATCACCTCGGATGCTTCCATTCCGGTGGACGCAAGACGACGTCGACGCAACTTGCCATCACGCAAGACGGCGTATGTATGTATGTAAGATATGTGGGTGTGGACTCGCAAGATGGACGGAAGACGGGTGCGGTAGCTTATTAGCCTTCTGAGCTACATATGTACATACCAACCCCTCCGACGTCGAGCGGAAATTTTCCCAGTGCGTTTGAAGGTCGACTGTCCCGACCCGAGGCGTGAGAGCGCCGCAGAGATCCACGCGTGCTTTTGACGCGCACACGAGAATTCGAAGGACGCGACGCGTATCACCTCTTCAGTCTTCAAGTCTTCTAGAGTCTTCTTCTGAATCTTTACTTACAATCACCGCTTCCTCAGTATGAATCAATGATAGAGTTACATAGAACTCTGTTCCGCCACACGCTTGAGCATGATGGGACCGAGGACGGGTGGGGTAGCTTATTAGCCTTCTGAGCTACATACATACCAACCCTCCGACGTCGAAGATGGCCGTCGCGGAATTTTTGCCCAGTTGCGTCTCCGGCCTCCCCAATACCCGACCCGAGGCGTGCGAGCGCCGCAGATCCTCGCCGTCGCGTTTTGGGTGGTTGTGGTAGCTAAGCGCTAACTACCCGCCGAGATAGCGCCTCGAGTCCGGAATTTCGCCCGGTTGCGTCTCCGGCCTCTCCAACACCCGACCCGAGCAGAGATCCTCGCCTGCCTATCCTCGCTCTGGTCTCAGCGGATCCGGATCCGCGTCGCGTGCTTGCGATAAGGTAAGTAAGTGCTTACCGGACTTGTGGATTAGTGCACACAACACGTGTAAGTAATTCGAACACAACATGCGAACTTGGATCGCCTAATCGACACACACGCAGTCGCGTATCACAGAATAGCGTAAAACTCTGAAATTACGCGAACAGACTAAGTAGCTCCTGACTTTCGACGTGCGTTTCATGTCATGTCAGTCAATGAGCAATCAAATATTAAATATTGAGTGACCCTGAGGATGGATGAGAGAAGATGATGAGAGGAGGGATGCGGAAATCCAAAGCGCAGAGGCAAAGAAAGTTCTGGATTGAGCGCATCAGGCGGGTCGTTGATTGATTGATTGATGGCGCTGATGAGCCACCATTGCGCACGGCCAGCTTTCTTTTGCTTGGAACAGTGTGTTGTGTTTGCGGCACCGCGCGAAAGAAGGAAGGGAAACACGAGCGATACGCATCGCGCCTGAAAGGAAGGAAACTTAGGAAAGGAACCCCGGGTACGCATCAATCAATCAGTCACTTGGTGTTGACGCGTTGACGCGATGCATGCATGCGTGACGTCGCTTGCAAATCCTCTGTTCAATTGGGTTACATAAACGATAAGAGTTATTCACGGCATGCCGCCACCAACACCGTTATTTATCATTTTGTGCCTACCTCTCCCCACTTGTCCCCATGCACCGCTGGGTTTTATACTTGAATCTTCGAGCGTGTATTTATGTGGTGAATTTTTGGCCACCTCATAACAAAAAAAAAAAAAGCTTGAAAATACAAGCAGCATGACCCAGCCCAGAGTCGAACGGAGTCTTCCCACCAACGATGTAGATGAAAATGCATATCCTCGGTGGGTGTGCGCCGCGCACCACTGGGTCTCCTGCAACAATATTCGAGAACGGATTTATTAAGGTGGATTTTGGAGTCGGGTATTAAAAATAATTCCAGAATGACCCAGCCCGAGTCGAACGGGGTCTTCCCACCAACCATTTAGATGATGAAGACTCTACATCTTCGCCGTGCACCACCGGGTCTTATACCAGATTATTTGAGCCCTGAATACATGCCTTTCTGTAAGTCTAATTGCCCAGTCAAGTTGTGATCGCGCGGAGCTCGATGTTTAGCGCAAACAGCCTCGAAGAGGCTCGGAAGTCTATTGGAGACGGACGTGAGGTGCCGAAGTGGGGGAGTACAGGAGGTACGGTAACGAGGTAACTAAACTAATGCTAATAGGTGTGTGTATATGTAATATGGGTGGGAGACGCAATAAGACAGGCGATAGGACTGGCGAGACAGAGTGAGAAGCTGGTGAGCTACCTCTGTCCCGCCAGGTTTAAGAGTGGTCCGATGGTGGTCCAAGCGCAGCGGCGCTTGGACCAGTGCTTTGACCTTGCTTCCGACCACTGGGGTGAAGGTCAAGCGGTGTCATAATAGACAAAAAGAGCGCGTACCCGGTAAGACAATACCACTTGCGACCCGAGGGGTGGGTATTGTCCCGCATTCCTCTTGCGACCTGGTAGGCGGGAATGCTCGGGTAAGACAGTGTGCGTTGTACGCGTTGGACCAGCCTCACCAATTAGACTTGAGTAAACATCACTTTAAACCCGGTGAATCACTCAAAAACCGTCGTGGTCAAGGACCAAATTGTGTGCACCACTGGACCTTATACCAGATTATTTGAGCATGGGTTTATACTGCATTTTTCTTTCGCAACTTGTGGAATAAAATGAACAGAAAAAAAGAAAAAATCCACATGATGACCCAGCCCCGAGTCGAACGGAGTCTTTCCACCAACCATTTGGATGAAAAGTCTACATTTTCAGTGGGTCGCCGTGCACCACTGGGTCTTCAACAATATTCGAGGCTCGATTTATGTAGTGAATTTTGGAGTCAAGTCAAAAAGAACTCAACGTAGAAGAACTGCAAAGACCCAGCCCCGAGTCGAACGGGGGCTTCCCACCAACCATTGAGAAGAAAATGGATCTTCGGAGGGTGTGCGCCGTGCACCACTGGGTCTTATTATCAGATTATTTGAATACGTGCCTTTCTGTAAGTTTGAATCATAAACCGTCGTGGTCGAGGAAACCAAATTGTGTGCAACCACTGGGTCTTATACTATCAACGACTGGGTACTGGGCCAGTCGGGGTAGTGGGCCACTTGGATAATACAAGCACCCACGTTGCAGAATTGCATGGTTTGGTGCTTGTGGGAAGAAGTACGATGTATAACGATGTTGTACATCAAATCTTGAGGCGGAGTGATGCGTTGATCAGAAGCTGTGCCCCGTTTAGTTCCGAGGGTGGGTGGGAATTGATCATTTTGTTATCTCCGAACGATGCTCGTTCTCTTCTTTTCCTCCGTTCTCAGCCAATTCTCCACCGATTCCCACGTTTGCGGGCTCGTTTCGTTGCCTATACCTAGGGTAATGCCCTGCGCGGCCGCTAGACGCCAGAATGAGCCAAAGGCTCCCCTAGACTGTCCAAGGACAGCCCGACCTTCTTTCGACTGGCGCAAGACAGACCACCCTATGGCGACCCACCCGACATTGCTGTCGCCCTAGAACTTGATATGTACTCTGTGTAGATGCACTTGAATCGCTTCTCCGCCCCCTTTGGCCCTCTACTGCTCGACTTCTCGTTCACTGTGGGCCATTCCAGCGGACCACCCAAATTCAGTGTCGGAAATAAATAGATTTTGCTCGGATGGTTATTGGGATGGAGTGACCATCCACTGTCGCTAGGTATGTCCTATTGCTTCCTATCTATCATTCTAACACTTCACTTTGGTCAATATTGGTCTCTCTGCCTTGTAGCGCACGCGATTTCCTCGACACCCCAATTTCCGCCATCCTCCCTGGCCAGAAGGGCTAGTAGCCATGACCCTTGTACGCTTTTGATTCGCATTTTGAGTGAATGTAACCATGCCTTCGAACCTCCTGAGTGATTCTAAGTGTACTAGATTGTATGGTACAAGTCCCAACAATAACTGATTTAGGCCGGTGGCCCACTAGGCCGTTTATTGCCATTTTGGGACACCGCCTAAAGATAAATTCGCTGAGCGGTCAAAACACCACCTAAAATTCGGCCAAAATATATCGTCTCACTCTTAGTATGTTGGTCCTTACACAAGGGTCAGAAGCTGGGTATTTATTGCATTCTACGAGCTGGCCAGAGGTCAAAAGCGCTAATGTGGCCCAGTACCCGGTCAGTGATAGTACCAGATGATTTGAACATGGATTTATACTGCATTTTTTTTCGAACTTCAAGTTGCGAAAGAAAGTGCAACAAGGCTTGTTGAGAATAAAATGAGCAAAGAAAAAAAAAATCCACCTGATGACCCAGCCCGGATCGAACGGGGACCTCCCACTGACAAGTTTATCTGCAATATCTTCGGTGGGTGTGCGCCATGCACCACTAGGTCTCCTGCAACAATATTCGAGCCTGATTTTATTCTGTCGATTTTCAAGGGCCACCCAGTGCGAAAAAGTAGTCTCAGTTCGCGAGCCCATGACGCAGCCCCGAGTCGAACGGGGTATTCCCACTCAATTACGTTTGCGACCTGCGGCAATTTGCGCGGGCGTGCATCGTGCACCACTGCGTCTTACACCAGATTATTTGAACATGGGTTTATACTGCATTTTATTCAATCGCAACTTGTTGGGAATAAAATGAACAAAAAGAAAAGAAAAAAAATCCACCTGATGACCCAGCCCCGGGTCGAACGGGGACCTCCTACTGTACATTTTGAACGTGGCGATTTTCCTATCTTGGGTGGGTGTGCGCCGTGCACCACTGGATCTCCTGCAACAATATTCGAGGCCCGATTTATGAGGTGGATTTTAGAGTCAAGTAAAAAGAAAATTCAAAAGTAGAATAAACAGCGAAGACCCGGCCCCGAATCGAACGGGGTCTTCCCACCAACCATTGTGGAAGAACCTAGTCCATCTTCGGTGGGTGTGCGCCGTGCACCACTGGGTTTTAAACCAGATTATCTGAACATGGGTTTATACTGCATTTTCTTTCGCAACATTGCTAGGAATAAAATGAACAATAAAAGAAATTCCACATGACGACCCAGCCCCGAGTCGAACGGGGTCTTCCCACCAACCATTTGGAGGAAAAGTCTACATCTTCAGTGGGTGTGCGCCGTGTACCACTGGGTCTTCAACAATATTCGAGGCTCGATTTATGCAGTGAATTTGGGAGTCAAGTCAAAAAAACTCAACGTAGAAGAACTGCAAAGACCCAGCCCCGTGTCAAACGGGGGCTTCCCACCAACCATTGAGAAGAAAATGCATCTTCGGAGGGTGTGCGCCGTGCACCACTGGGTCTTATACCCAAATATTTGAACATGGGTTTATACTACATTTTTTTTCGCAACTTGTTAGGAATAAAATGAACCCAGAAAAAAAATCCACATGATGACCCAGCCCCGAGTCGAACGGGGACCTCCTACTGAACATTTTTGTCGGGAGTTCCATATCTTGGGTAGCTGTGCGCCGTGCACCACTGGGTCTTGTACTTGAATTTTCGAGCGTGTATTTATGCGGTAGATTTTTGGCTACCTCATAACAAAAAAAAAATGAAAATTCCGATGACATGACCCAGCCCCGAGTCGAACAGGGGCTTCCCACTCAACTTTACCAATTGGCTTCGTCAAGCTGTGTGGGAGTGCGCTGTACACTACTAGGTCTTATACCAGATGATTTGAACATGAGTCTATACTGCATTTCTTTCGCAACTTGGTAGGAAAACAAAAAGATCCCAGACATGGGAGCGGGACATCTCACTCAATTCTTTTTGTGATCTGCGAAAAATTGTGCGGGCATGCACCACAAACCACAGGGTCTTGTAGCTGTCTTCGAGTGTGTATTTATGCGGTGGATTTTTGGCTACGTCACAACAAAAAAAAAGTTTGAGATACCTATTACATGAACCAGCACCGAGTCGAACGGGGGCTTCCCACCAACCATACGCGTGTAGATGAAGATATATCTTCGGTGGGTGTGCGCCGTGCACCACTGAGTCTTATACCTGATGATTTGAACATGGGTTTATACCGCATTCTCTTTCGCAACTTAGTGGGACAAAAAAAGATCCCACGAAATGAGAACGGGACCTCTCACTCAATTCTTTTTGTGATCTGCGAAAAATTGTGCGGGCACGCACTATAAACCACAGGGTCTTTTAGTTGAATCTTCGAGCGTGTATTGATGCGGTGGATTTTTGGCTACCTCATAACAAAAAAAAAGTTCGAAAATTCCGATGATATGACCCAGCCCCGAATCGAACGGGGATCTCCCACTTAATTGAATTTTCAGACCTGACAAATTTTGTGGGCGTGCACCGTGCACCACTGGGTCTCCTGCAACAATATTCGAGGTCCGATTTATGAGGTGAATTTTGAAGTCAAGTAAAAAAAACTCCCCGTAAACGTCGCAGCAAAGACCTAGCCCCGAGTCGAACGGGGCCTTCCCACCAACCATTGGGGAAGGTGCATCTGCGGTGGGCGTGCGCCGTGCACCACTGGGTATTATACCAGATTATTCGGACGTGGGTTTATACTACATTTTCTTTCGCCACCCTGGGAATAAAAAAAGAAATCCACATGATGACCCAGCCCCGAGTCAAACGGGGAACTCCTACTGAACATTTTTTTCGGCAGTTCCATATCTTGGGTAGGTGTGCGCCGCGCACCACTGGGTCTTGTAGTTGAATCGTCGAGCATGTATTTATGGGGTGGATTTTTGGCTACCTCATAATAATAAAAAAGCTGGAAGATCACGACGACATGACCCAGCCCCGAGTCGAACGGGGGGTTTCCCACTTCAATACCCTAGTGCTACTTTATATTGGGTAGGTGTGCGCCGTGCACCACTGGTCTTATACCAGATTATTCGAGCCTGCATACATGCCTTTCTGTAAGGTGAATAAAAAACCTGTCGTGGTCAAGGCAACCAAATTGGGGGTTTTATACCAGATTATCTGAACATGGGTTTATACCTGCATTTTCTTTCGCAACTTGTTGGGAATAAAATGAACAAAGAAAAAAAAACACATGATGACCCAGCCCCGAGTCGAACGGGGTCTTAGATCTTCCCACCAACCATGTAGATCAAGACATTGCATCTTCGTTGGGTGTGCACCATGCACCACTGGGTCTTATACCAGATTATTCGAGCCTGCATACATGTCTTTCTGTAAGTTGAATCAAAAGCCGACATCGTCAAATTGTGTGCACCACTGGGTCTTATACCAGATTATTTGAATATTGCATTTCTTTCCCATTGGGAATAAAATGAACAAAAAAAAAAAAAAGATCCACATGATGACCCAGCCCCGAGTCGAACAGGGACCTCCTACTGACATTATCATTTGCGAACTACAATCTTGGGTGGGTGTGCACAGCACACCACTGGGTCTTGTAGCTGAATCTTCGAGCATGGATTTATGCGGTGGATTTTTGGCTACCTCGTAACAAAAAAAAGGTTGGAAACGTAAACGACATGACCCAGCGAGTCGAACGGGGTCTCCTCACCAACGATCTAGATGAAGATTTCGCATCTTCGGTGGTGTGCACCGTGCAGCATCAGGTCTTATACCAGATTATTCGAGCCTGAATACATGCATGCCTTTCTGTAACTTGAATCAAACTTTGCCGTCGTGGTCAAATTGTGTGCACCACTGGGTCTTATTTGAACATGGGTTTATACTGCATTTCCTTTCGCAGCCGAACAAAAAAAAAATCCGCATACTGACCCAGCCCCGAGTCGAACAGGGACTTTCTACTGTACATTTTGAAAGCGACGTCGACTTTCCTATTTTGGGTGGGTGTGTGCTGTGCACCACTGGGTCTTATACCAGATTATCTGAACATGGGTTTATGGTATATTTTCTTTCGCAACTTATTGGGAATAAAATGAACCAAAAAAAAAAAGATCCACATGATGACCCAGCCCCGAGTCGAACGGGGACCTACTGTAGATTCCATGGCTACTTCATATCTTGGGTGGGTGTGCGCTGTGCACCACTGAGTCTTGTCACTGGTTGAACATTTCAAGTTTTTCAGCGAAAAAATTGGTGAAAAACTTGAATTTTTTTTCACCTATTTTTTCTGCAAAAAAAGGGGTGAAAAATGTAAAACATTTTTACCTTTTTCTGACTTGAAACAATAATAAAGTGAAAAATGTAAAATATCTTTCACATTTTTCACCTACTTTTTTGGTGCAAAAATAGGTGAAAAAAAATTCAAGTCTTTCACTAAATTTTCCACTGAAAAAATTGAAATGTTCAACCAGTGTGTACCAGATTATTTGAACATGAGTTTATACTGCATTTTCTTTCGCAACTTGTTGGAATAAAATGAACAAAAAAACAAACAAACCACATGATGACCCAGCCCCGAGTCGAACGGGGACCCCCCACCATATTGTGCGGGTCTGTGCCGCGCACCACTGGGTCTTGTACTTGAATCTTCGAGGCCCATTTATACTGCATTTTTGGCCGCAACCTGGTAAAAAAGAAAATCGACAAAGTTGCCTGATTATGACCCAGCCCCGAGTCGAACGACGGCATCCCACTCAATTCCGTGTACGAACTGGGGAAATTGTGTGGGCGTGCACCGTGCACCACTGGGTCTTATACCAGATAACTTGAACATGGGTTTATACTGCATTTTCTTTCGCAACTTGGTGTGACAAAAAAAGATCCCACAAAATGGGAACGGGACCTCCCAACCAATTTTTTTTTTCGGCGACAATTTGTGGGGGTGTGCGCCATGCACCACTGGGTCTTACACCAGATTATTTGAACCTGAGTTTATACTGCATTTTCTTTCGCAACTTGTTGGAGAATAAAATGAACCAAAAGAAAATATCCACATGATGACCCAGCCCCGAGTCGAACGGGGACCTCCCACTGACGTTTCTTATGCTCTACAATATCTCCGGTGGGTGTGCACAGTACACCACTGGGTCTTGTAGTAGAATCTTCGAGCATGGATTTATGCGGTGGAATTTTTAGCTACTTCAAAACAAAAAACACTCGAATACGAGTATGACCCAGCCCCGAGTCGAACGGGGAACTCCTACTGTACAGCGACTTTCTCATCTTGGGTGGGTGTGCGCCGTGCACCACTGGGTCTTATACCAGATGGGTTTATACTGCATTTTCTTGGGAATAAAATGAACGAAAAAAAAAATCAACATGATGACCCAGCCCCGGGTCGAACGGGGACCTCTCACTTTAATTTGCTAGCACCCGCGTTATCTTGGGTGGGTGTGCACCGTGCACCACTGGGTCTCCTGCAATAATATTCGAGCTTGTATTTATTCTGTCGATTTTAAGGGCCACCCAGTGCCAAAAAGTATTTGTCTTTCCCCGGCGCATGACGCAGCCCGAGTCGAACGAGGGCCTCCCACTCAATTCCACGTACAAACTGAGGTAATTTGTCCGGGCGTGCGCCGTGCACCACTGCGTCTTATACCAGATTATTTGAACATGGGTTTATACTGCATTTTCTTTCGCAATTTGTTGGGAAATAAAATGAGTAAAAAAAAAAAAATCCACATGATGACCCAGCCCCGAGTCGAACGGGGACCTCCTACTAACACCTTTGTTGGGGCCCCCGAGGGATTTCCATATTGGGTGGGTGTGCGCCGTGCACCACTGGGTCTTGTAGTTGAATCTTTGAGGCTCGATTTATGTGGTGGATTTTTGGCTACCTCATAACAAAAAAAAAGCTGGAAGATCATGACGACATGACCCAGGCCCGAGTCGAACAGGGTCTTACCACCAACCATATTAATGCAGATGTATCTTTGGTGGGTGTGCGCCGTGCACCACTGGGTCTTATACCAGATTATTCGAGCCTGAATACATGCCTTTCTGTAAGTTGAATCAAAAAACTGTCGTGGTCAAGGAAACCAAATTGCGTGCACCATATCAGATTATTTGAACACGGGTTTATACTGCATTTTCTTTCGCAATCTTGTTGGGAATAAAATGACCGAAAAAAAAAAAACATGATGACCCAGCCCCGAGTCGAACGAGGACCTCCCACTCAATTACGTTTACGACCTTGCGGCAATTTGCGCGGGCGTGCACCATGCACCACTGCGTCTTATACCAGATTGTTTGAACATGGGTTTATGCTGCATTTTCCTTTCGCAGCTTGTTGGGAATAATAATAAAAAGTCCACGTGATGACCCAGCCCCGAGTCGAACGGGGGTTCCAACCAACAATTGAGAAGAAAATGCATCTTCGGAGGGTGTGCGCCGTGCACCATTGGGTCTTATACCAGATAATTTGAGCCTGCATACATGCCTTTCTGTAAGTTGAATAAAAAACCTGTCGTGGTCAAGGAAACCAAATTGTGTGCTTATACCAGATTATCTGAACATGGGTTTATACCTGCATTTTCTTTCGCAACTTGTTGGGAATAAAATGAACAAAGAAAAAAAAAACACATGATGCCCACCCATGATGACCCAGCCCCGAGTCGAACGGGGACCTCCTACTGAACATCGTTGGGGGTTCACGAATCTCGGGTGTGCGCCGTGCACCACTGGGTCTTATACCAGATTATTCGAGCCTGCATACATGCCTTTCTGTAAGTTGAATAAAAAACCTGTCGTGGTCAAGGAAACCAAATTGTGTGCTTATACCAGATTATCTGAACATGGGTTTATACCTGCATTTTCTTTCGCGACTTGTTGGGAATAAAATGAACAAAGAAGAAAAAAAACATGATGTCCAGCCATGATGACCCAGCCCCGAGTCGAACGGGGACCTCCCACTGAACATACTTGTCAAGGGTATCCGTATCTTGGGTAGGTGTGCGCCGTACATCACTGGGTCTTATACCAGATTATTCGAGCCTGAATACATGCATTTCTGTAAGTTGAATCAAAAACCGTCGGGTCAATGAAACCAAATTGTATGCACCACTGGCTCCCGCAATCCTCGAACATCAGATCGCGTGCACATGTACACAATGCCAGGCGGATCCAGATGTTGCCATGAATGCAAGGGCGGACGCCTCCCGATGCCTACCGCCTCCCGATGCCTACCGATGCATCTTCGCGTGCAATGTGCACCACGTCCGACACTTCTTCTCCAGTACTTATGTCTTCGAGCTTCGAATTCGAAGAGCTTCCAAGTCGCCGTCGACGCATGTCCCGGAAATTCATCCATGGAGGTGTGAATCCGCGCCGCAACAACGAATTAATTGGATGTGTGCAAAGTGCATGTTGCCACTGTCACACCAGAAAAAATATATTCTGATAGGTAACCTCCCCAACCCGCTGCCCCCCGGCCCGCTGCCCTCCTCCGCCCTACCGTCGCCCGAGGCGTGAGAGCGATCCACGCGTGCTTTTGACGCGCGCACACGAGAAATTCGAAGGTGATCGACATAACGCGTCGCGTATCAATTTTCACATCACCTCGGAATCCGGATGCTTCCATTCCGGTGGCACGCAACTTGCCATCACGCAAGACGGCGTATGTATATAATGTATGTATGTATGTAAGATATGTGGGTGTGGACTCGCAAGATGGACCGAGGACGGGTGCGGTAGCTTATTAGCCTTCTGAGCTACATACCAACCCCTCCGACGTCGAGCGGAATTTTTCCCAGTGCGTTTGAAGGTCGACTGTCCCGACCCGAGGCGTGAGAGCGCCGCAGAGATCCACGCGTGCTTTTGACGCGCACACGAGAATTCGAAGGACGCGAACGCGTATTACCTCTTCAGTCTTCAGTCTTCTAGAGTCTTCTTCTTTACTTACGATCACCGCTTCCTCAGTATGAATCAATGATAGAGTTACATAGAACTCTGTTCCGCCGCACGCTTGGAGCATCATGGACCGAGGACGGGTGGGGTAGCTTATTAGCCTTCTGAGCTACATACATACCAACCCTCCGACGTCGAAGATGGCCGTCGCGGAATATTTGCCCAGTTGCGTCCTCCGGCCTCCCCAATACCCGACCCGAGGCGTGCGAACGCCGTAGAGATCCTCGCCCTCGCGTTTTGGGTGGTTGCGGTAGCTAAGCGCTAACTACCCGCCGAGGTAGCGCCTCGACTCCGAGACCGGAATTTTGCCCGGTTGCGTCTCCGGCCTCTCCAACACCCGACCCGAGCAGAGATCCTCGCTCTGCTGCACGGATCCGGATCCGCGTCGCACGCTTGCGATAAGAGTAAGTAAGTGCTTACCGGACTTGTGGATTGGTGCACACAACACGTGTAATTCTCGAAGCACACACAACATGCGAACTTGGATCGCCTAATCGACACACACGCAATCGCGTATCACAGAAATGCGTAAAACTCTGATTTCATATGTATTCGTTCCTTCTTAGCGTACTTAGCGAGACGTGCGTTTCATGAGCATATCGAATATATTACTTAGGTGCGTGGCACACAACGAGCTTGGGATCGACACATATCACAGAAGCGTAAAACTCTGATACTTACGCGAACACAACTCTACACAACTCCTGATTTTCGCCAGTAGCGTGACGTGCGTTTCGCTTAACCCGACCTGACCCTGAACGTGTTTCGCGCTGTTTCGCTATGTAGGGATGCGCAAATAAATGAGAGGATTCCACCGAATGAACGATCAAGCGCAGAAGAGTAGCGCATCAATCGATCAATCAATACCGCCCGATGCGCCGCACCATGGCCAGATTGGTATACTTAATAATATTCCTCCCGACGAAATACGCTTTTCTATACATACATAGTACAGCGCGAAGGAAGGAAGCGCGAGCGATACGCATCATGCATAAGGAACCTAAAGGAACCCCGGGTACGCATCAATCAATCAGTCACTCACCTCGGTGTTGACGCGTTGACGCGATGCATGCATGCGTGACGTCGCTTGCAAGTCCTCTGTTCAAGTGGGTTACATAACGATTCCGGCATGCGCCACCAAAACCGTTATTTATCATTTTGTGCCTACCTCTCCCCACTTGGCACTTGTCCCAATGATTGACGCGGACGCACCCCACTGACGCAACTGTAAGCTAACTGTAGCAACCTGTGGCGTGGAGCAGAGAAGGCACAGGAGAAGCAAGAAAGCAATAACATCATAATAGGGTGCGGGGCTCGCACATTGCCTAAATTACCAATGACGTCATGTAATTTTACCGACCCTGGGTCGGCGGCGGAGGAAGAGTGGAGAGTTTCAAGGTGCGGTTGGGTGGGTCATGCGACCCCGAAGCGACTCAGGGGTATAGACGGACGGAAGGATGAGAAAGAGAGAATTCCTTTTTAATTTCGTTATAGCCCAAAAGAAAAAAATACAGAGATAAGTACACGGTGTCGTTTGTATGTATGTAGGAGAGTGAGGTCCATGCGCGATTAGCATTAGGGGTGAGTAGTCTAGGGGGGTTGTTATAAGTTATGCGAAGGGAGCGTTATATATGCGTGTGTGCAGTTCCAGGCGTGTTGTGTGCAGGTTGGATACAGATGGTATGAGGAAGAGGCCGCCGATATCGAGCACTTCGATGCGGGTAGAGAAAGGATGTGTGTGGGGAAGGAGCGTCTATGCAATGACGCAGACGCTTAGCCGACTGGGCACATATGCGCGGGCGCCGCACTCGCTCTCGTATCCGTCGACCGAGCGGCAGGACGCGGCGCAGGGACGCGGGCGGCCGACGGCGTGGATGCGGTTGAGGAGGGTGCGTGCGAGGAGGCGGGAGCGGGCGTCGGGCGTGGGGTAGTGCCGCGCGAGGAATGGGGAGGGCGCGCCGGGCACAAGGGGTGGTGCGGGTGCCTGTGGTGCGGGGGTGGGCCGGCGGGAGGGGGATGCGGCGGAAGCGTAGGCGGAGGTGGTGAGGGCGGATGCGTACGAGGCGGAGGAGGATGCGGATGAGGATGAGGAGGATGAGGAGGGGCGCGGCGGCGGGGAGCCGGCGGAGAAGGACGGGGCACGGCGGCGGCCGACTATTATTTGGGGTGCGGGGGATGGAGAGGCGGCGGCGGCGGCGGGGGTGAGGGGCCGGCCGCGCGGAGGGGTGTTCTGGTTTGGCAGCAGGAGCTCGTCCGCGAAGGGGTCGAACTTTAGCGGGGGGACGTGGGACGTCGGCCCGGAGTGTGCGGAGGATGCGAGTGCGGGGAGACGCAGCGCGGGCCGGGACTGCTTCGGTGAAGGAGTCGAGTGTGGCAGGGAAAGGTCGAGGGACAGGCCCGGCGGGAAGCGGGTGTTCCATGTCGCTGTGGACGGGCGCAGCGGCGTTGCGGACGAGTACGGCAGCGCAGAGACCCAAGAAGGAGACAGCGACGACATGGTGGCGACACAGGTGCTCATGGCAAACTAAAGTCGAAACTGGCTGGCAGTTGGAAAATGGGGGGTGAGGCAATGGCGCTTAGGCCACTTATAAGGCGTGGGTCACACATGGGCTCATCACACTCCATTGGGGCTAAAGCCGAGGCCCATACAGGTCACTGCTTCTTTGATCTGATCCCACACACAGGGGTGCGTAAGATCTCGGATCACGGAGCTGGCTGCTGCAAAATTGCGTGCAATTGCTGTCTCGGTCGGTCTCCTATGTAATCTAGCGAGTGGAATGCAGGCAATGCACAGCAGCGGAACTATGCCCGGCGCAGCAACCACCATCCGCAACTACAACCCGCGGTGGGCTGGGCCATAGTTATGCGCCATGGTAATACCAT